CATCATATATAAATATGATCATTATACATAAAAGTAAATCCCCATCTATATTCCTCTGAGAAAATTCTCTTTAGGATAACATTTCAGCATCATGTAGAATGACTAAATAAGATGCAGGGGAACTGGTTATGAAATGCAGGCTTAATATAAGAAGACACTTAGGAAACCCTTGTACCTTATTCTCACTGGAAGTCAGGATCCACAGGATTGGGCAGAAGGAAGAGGCCTGGTAGGATTAAAATATTTTAATGTTTTATGATCAGGGCCATATTTTATTCATTTTTATAATTCCCACAAGTCCTAGAGCAATGCCTTCCATGTCTGTAGCATGAAAGCAGAAGGAGGGAGGAAGGGAATGGGGTTTTCTCATATTTTCAAAGTGGAGGATGGAGAGCCAGTCCAGAAAGAGGAGGCTCATATTTCTAAATGTTTCGCATTTTGAGTGCTCATGAGGCTCTTTCCTCCTTCCTTCCTGCGTCCCTCCTTTCCTCTCCCACAGACATCACCATGTCAACTGCATGTCAGGCATCTGCTATGAGAGTTATATTGCAAGCTCTGTAAGGACAGGGACATCACAACATTTGGTGTGATGCTCCTTACATGTGACATTTTAAAATGTCGGTCACTGACTAACTACATAAACTCAGAGGATCCTTTTCTTCTTGAATCCAAGGGAGTTTGTGGACTTGGAGAAAGTTGGGTTATAACTGCCTGAAGTGTTTGGCTTTTCTAGAGAAAAAAGAGATGAAGAATAGCACAGCTTCTGCCCTAAACAGTCTCATTATCCAGTGGGGGTGACAAAGCCAAACTCTACAGAGCAGTGCTGAACAATATATATCTTTATATAAAATGGGGCCAAAAAGGGTGTGGTGCAAACTATAAGTACTCAAAGATTAGGGAACTTAGTGAGTACAGGCTGCATCAGAGCACAGGTCCCCCAGCTGGGACTTGAGATGGACTTTGTAGGATTGTGAGGACCTTAGGGATGAGGTCTGTTGTCCAAGATCTGTCTTGGGGGTTTGTGTGCTTCTGGGGCAAGGTCAGCGTTCGCTAGAAAGCAAGTTCCCACTGCTGTCACCCTAGTTGCCCAGATGCTCAATCTTGTAGACCCAGGGGATGCATCTGGACTAGAGTTTCTGCTTGGAGAAGGTAATGCCACCAGCCGGCCAAGTGACAGAGCTCAGCAAAGTGTCATGCTTGTGAGGATACAACCTGGGGTCAGGGCTATGCACACATATGTTTGTGGTATTGCTTTGCTGGGACAGGCTGCCTCCTTTTCTCCTTGGGCAGGTAGGGTTCTGGTTCATGGCTTACCAAAGAGAGTACTGGTTTGTGTCCATAAGTCATGGTAGACAGTCCCCTCTTTTCTTCTGTGCACAAGTGGTTGATGCTCTCTTTACCCTGTATCTTTGTGGGAGTATAAAAATAACCCCTTTTCATTAGCATTTTCTTCCTACTAGCAATCCTACTTTATCTGACACCTGCTCTCACACAATACTGGGCTGGAGTGTGTTAACTCAACATTCTGCATTTGCGTCAGCATACAGCTAAAGCTCTGAGTGGCTGTCAAAAGCATTATGAGGCTCTATGAGTAGGTGTCTGGCCTCCAACATTAAGGATTTTCTCGTTGCTCTTACTGCACACAAATGGGTGGATTCATTTGTTAACTGAGTGCATGGTGAGGCTGCAGCTTCCCCAGTGGCCCCTTGTACTGTGCCAAGATGTTGATTCCTCTCAACTCTTGGGATTGGGGAGAAGCAGGGCCAGGGCCTTCTGTCTAGTGTGTTCACTTGGGTCCTCCAAGAAGCAGATGCTGGAGAGAGATTAGCTGTGCAAAATGTTTATTGGGGAGCAATTCCTTTGAGGAAAAATGGGGAGGGAGACTGCGGATGCTGGGCCAGCTCTCAGGTCTTGGAGCAGCCCAACCAAGCCCTGTGGAGAGAGGGAAGGAGGGGAGGCTGCGTAGGAAAAGGTTTAGGCTGCGGTGCAATTCTAAGAAAGGTTGGGCAAAGCTGATGCGGGGTCTTTGAACCATGGTGACCCTTCAGAGGAGTCCCATCTCCCTGTCTTAGTGCCCCTGCTGTGATCAGTCATTGGCTGGCTTCAGCATGACTGCAGTCGTGAATTCCAGACCGTCGGTCAGACTACACACTCCTTATTGTGGGAGGTCTATCTGCAAGGTGCATTTTCATGCTATTACATCTGGTCACCTCTGGCAGCGAGCAGCTTACTCCACTTACTCCAGTGTGCCGCTTCTCGAAGGCTGGAACCAGAGATGGTACAGAGGGCCAGGCACGGCCATTTAGCTTTTGAGGCATTGTGTGAATTTAATCGCAGAAACCCAGGTACTAAGCACTTGTTATTTTGACAAATACTTGTTTCCCCTGCTTGAGAAAAAATGGTGGATACTTCATGTTTACTTCTTGCTACTGCACTGAAAGCATCTTGCAAAAATAAGCGGCTCATGGCCCACCCTTTGGGAATTTCAGATATTATCAATACAGGTTCTCCCCATTCGGGCCCTATGCATGTAGTACCTTGTTTCCCTTCTTTATATTCCACTTAGCAGAAAGCAGAGGTCATAGTATCATTCATGGTAATTGCCAAGTAACTTTTAGAAAACGAGTCCTTCCTAGGATTCCACTAGAGTGTTGGAAAAGTGATGTTCTTACGCAGGCACCCTAAACCATGTGCGGTGCATGTGGTGTGTCTTCCCTTCTCTTTCCTGACTATTTTTATTGTAGTCATTTGACACTGCACATGGAAGGTTGCCCACTGTTCTGTGATGGGTCAAGTGCTCATGGTGGTTACATACCCATCACTTATTTTTTCTTGTTGGCAAAGGTTAAGATAAAATATTTCTCACTATTATGGGGGAGTGGGCCAAATACTGAAGCAGGAACAAGTAAGGTAAAAATATTTTTGACAGAAATCTGCTTTCATTCTCACCTATTACTCTAGTTCTCTACATTACTGCCAAAGTGATAGATCTTATATGAAAATCTGACTGTTTTACTGTCCTGCCTAAAATCTTTCAATAGTTCTGTATTACCATTGGGTTAAAAATAAAAACTTCTTAGCATGACAGAGGAGTCTCTTTATGACCTGGCCCCTGTGGTCTAGAGTTTTTCTCTGTCTCTGTCTCTGTCTCTGTCTCTCTCCACCTATTCTCTTCTTACTCCACTGCTGATTCCCTAAATCCATCAGATTTCTTAAATTCCTCTGTATTTATACATTATATTCTTAGGTTATCCTAGTGACTGTTAACACAGAACCACTCACATTTCAGTGACTACACAAGTGAAGTTAACTTTTCACTCAAGTAACAGTCCAGTGCAGGTTTTCCTGGCTGGCGGATGGCTTTCCCCAACCTGGTGTTTCAGGGATGCAGACTTCTTCAGAGTGGTGACTCTGTCTACCTATAGGGCCTTTGTTTCTGCCCCATCCATATGGTAAATGGTGAAAGAGGAGGGAGAAAACTCACCTACTTCTTCCGTGCTGTGGCACACATCACTTTTGCTTATATTCCATCGGTGAGAACCCAGCCAAATGCCAGAGAGCTGGAAACACAATCTCTGGCCAAGCAGCTACTTCCTGACAACTATTCTACACACTGGCAAACAAAAATCCTAGGGAACATTTATCTGTCTCTGCTGTTACTCATGTGCTGCCACCCACATGTGCAGCCTGGATCTCAACTCATTCCCTGATTCAGGTCATCTGGACAAATGTTATGTGACCTTTTAAGATTCATCTAAAGCTTTGCATCATTCACAGAGCTTTGGAGTGTCTCCTCTCTATACTCGGATAACACAGGGTACTTACCAGCTGTTATAGCACACGTCACATTGTATTATAATTGTTTGCTTATGGATCTTCATTTTACAAACTTCAGCTCCTGTAGGACTGGGACTGTATTTTTATTTTAAGTCTATAAATGTCTGAAACAAAATATGCACCCAACAAATGTTTTATTGAATAAATGAAAGGCCATTAGATGGCTAGATTTACAAAAGACTGGTAAAACCTCCAAACTTTGATGTTTTAAAGAGTGAATTGTGGATTTATCCTAAAACAAATACATCAATCCTAATTTTAAATTGAGGAATGTGTGGACCTCTAAAGTTTCTTTGTGATTTTGTTAATAAATCCACAATATTAAGAGAGTTCACATTTATCAGATTACCATGAGCATCCTAACAGAGTCTGTAAACTCAAAAGTCAAAGATTGTCACTTGAGTTCAACTCTTTGCTAAGGGAATATTGTATCATTAGAATGTGTTTGACTGCAGGTAAGCAGAAACTTGATTTTACGTTGTTTGAAAAATTAGAAAATGTATTATGTCACATAACAGGAAGTCTAGAATTAGGGTAGCTCCAGGATAGGTTGATCCAGGCCTCAGTGAAGGCATCCAGGACCTGGGTCCAACCATCCTCAGTCCAACCATCCTCAGTATATTGACTGTGTCCTTGGACTATATCCCCTCAAGGTCACAAGATATCTGCCAGCAAAAAGTAGAGAAACATACTGCCTTGATCATATCCTGAGGGAGAGAATAAGAACACTTGTCCCCTAACCACAGTATATAAGTGCAACCTTTTAGTCTGATGGGGCTTTCTCAGATATGTGCTGATCTGTGGACCAGAAACTTTCTCCAGGGGAATTCCATCTCCTGACTGATTAGATTACAGTATCTCTCATGGAGCCAAGGTTTTCTTGAACACTTGGATGAATAGAAGAGGTGGGTAGCTCTTCTCTCCAAAATCTGTGGGTCCATTAGGAAGGAAAAATGGAGAAGTATTAGCAGTGTCCATCGCAAATATTTTAACAATACAGTCTGTTGAGCTGGTATCTTTGAAAGAGTGAACAATTTTCTAAACCAGGCAACGACCCTTTCTCCTGCCACCTATACAAGTTACAAATCATATATTTGAAAGCATCTAGTAATGAACATTTTAGATTACATTTCTTCAGTGCAATTATTTATTCTTTATTTTAGGCCTTGTAATGGGATTAATTTTACGATATGCTACAGCACCAACTGATATTGAAAGTGGAACTGTGTATGATTGTGGAAAACTGGTCTTCAGCCCTTCAACTCTGCTGATTAATATCACTGACCAAGTTTATGAATATAAATACAAGAGAGAAATAAACCGGCACAACATCAATCCTCATCAAGGCAATGCTATACTTGAAAAGGTAAGGATCCTCCCTCTCTGGTCACATATTTTTGTTTTCCTGTATAAATAATTGCATCATATATGAGCCACCGTAAGTAACCATAAGCCACCATGTAACACATACATATGCCCTTTTTCAGCACCACACTAACGGGGTGATTTAGCTAAGTGGTTAATGCCTTGATATACTCTGATTGTAAGCTCAGTTGTCTGTATTTTTTTCCTAGAAGTTGGAAAAATAATGCTTTTTATTATAACTGTTTTGCAAGCCACAGTTACATTAGGTAAAAAGATAATAGAAATTAAGCTGACTCTGCCTTTCATGTTACTTGATTCAAGTTTTCACATTTTTAAAAAAATTTTTGGTTGCATTGGTTTTTTTTTTTTTTTTTTTTTAATTTTTGGTTGCGTTGGTTGCTGCACATGGGCTTCCTCTAGTTGCGGTGAGTGGGGGCTACTCTTTGTTGTGGTGCGTGGGCTTCTCCTTGCAGTGGCTTCTTTTGTTGCAGAGCACGGGCTCTAGGCACGCAGGCTTCAGTAGTTGTGGCACACGGGCTCAGTAGTTGTGGTGCACGGGCTTAGTTGCTCCACAGCATGTGGGATCTTCCCAGACCAAGGATGGAACCTGTGTCCCCTGCACTGGCAGGCGGATTCTTAACCGCTGCACTACCAGGGAAGTGCCACATGTGTGTTGCACTACCAGGGAAGTGCCACATGTGTGTTTAGGTGTTGTTGTGTATATTACCAGCTGGCTATGCAGTTTAAATATCCCTTAAGTCAAAAGGAAAATGGGGGAGAATAAAAAAATTTTCACCTGCAAGCCTTGATCTAGAGTGGCTGCCTTTTAGCTGCCAACACAAAACATTGGCCACTTGGCTGTTTATAAATACACTGACACACAGTCAATCTCAAGAGGTCTTGACTCCATCAGTTTAGTTAGGGAATCTTAGATTGAAAAAAGAATTGTGAAGTTACTCATCTTTTAAAAATGTTTTTATTATTGCAAATGCGTGAATTGCTTTAGTTATTAGGAGGGAAACTTTCTTCTGCTCTCAGGACTCTGGGTCAGAAAACAGGTGAGGTTACCTTCTGTGGTGTCTTGTGTGTGGATCAGTCTTTGGAATAAGTGAATTTGTGTTTAGCAACACAAGTACACGCTAAGAATCAGGATCTTATGAGATTTATTCTAGATCGTTTTGTGTCAGAGCCGAGAACTTCCTTGCTATTATGGAAGTGCACTTTATCAATTTTATCCCATATAAATTTAGTTTTCTTTTAAAATACACATTTTTTTTCCATTTCAAGAGATTTGAGACAGGAAGGGAGATACATGATCTGGATTTTTCTTCATTCAAGATGAGTAATTTCTAGTGGGTTTTTTTTTCACATTATCTTCCACTAGCACATTCTAGATTAACTTCCTCCTAGCACTTGGTGAGGGCTCAGGGAAGTCAAACTGATTATAATACTAGCCTAAATCAGACTTAGTAAAGTGAAGTGAAGCACAAAAAAGCAAATGAAATAATGTATTTCTGAAGTAAATAGGAGCAACTTCTAGATCTGCTGTTTTGGATGGTCTCTTCCATGAGATTCTTTCTATTTACATGAATAGTAGAAAACTATCTCTCTTGAAATAATTTTTTAAAGTGACCTTGTTAGCAGCATAATTTAAACACTGTCTTCAGTTTTACTTTGCTTAGTATCGGAACATAAATTATTTCCCTCCTCATTCTCTTAACTATTTTATCTGCATTTCTAAGCAGCACTATTTCTCCAAACAGGTTGACCACCACCCCCTGCCCCAAAGATGCTGATAATTATCTCTGGTTTTCTTTATAGCAACTTGCTCTCTAACAGGATAGCCTACGAACACCTGATCAGAAATTTTGTTACTGTGTTGTTCACCTATTGATTTTTTTTTATCAGCAGCCAAACTCCAGCGTTTGCTTTTGAAAAATTAAGGCAAGAGATGGAGAAAATGTCTGAGTTTCTGGGGCCTTCTTGATCTTTTCATTGGGTGGATTATGAGTTCTGCACATGAAATGTTTCAATGACCTTGAATGCTCGAGTATTTTATAGACTAACTTCTAAATTGTGTGACTTATTGACTCACAGTTAGCTTTGTTCCTCGTGGCATCCCAGGTTGGCAATAGGCAGCTCAGTACCCAGGGTAAATCCCCCAGCTCCTTGCTGGTGGAGAAAGGGGTATCCACTGGTACACTTACCATATTAGACAACTTTAAGTGGAAAGGATCTTTTTAATAAATGGCCAGAGTATACGTTAACACACATTTGTTGCTTAAGTGCCAATGTTGGGGGACCCTAGTTAGTCTGCAAAAATGAAATGCCCATAGTCTGTATTTGTTACTGGGAATTGTCCACTGCCTGCAAGTATTCATATCAATCGAGCAATTAATTTATGTCAGATGCAAAAGAATTCCAAAAAAGAGCCTATTTATTGGAAGGCTTATAGGGAGGTAACATGGAATAATGGGAAAAAAAATTCAGGACCAGATAGATCTACCATCTATCCTTAGTCAATTCCTTGAACTTCCTAATCTCCAACTTTCTTATTTGTAAAGTGGGGAGATTAGAACTATTTTGTAGGATTGCCTTAATGTTTAAATGAGATGATGTATATAAAGTACCTGACTGTCATAAGGCCCTTTATGTTGCTGTCACTGCCTCTACTCGTGCTTCCACTGCCACTTCTAATACCACTGCCAACACCATCACCACTGCACTACCTCTAAGACCAGTTGCTGCTGCTAATATTTGAATGCTTAACATATGCCAGGGATTAATAAAATATGTGGGTTCTTTTCCATTTATTTAACATCCCTTGGGGAGATAAGACCAATGTATAATATACGTTAGTATATAATTCAGTTCTAAATTGTATCATATAGGCAATGAGGATTATGAAGCTTTACGGATTAGTTGTCATAGATACTTGAGCTTGTTAGGGAGTCTTCCTGGAGGAGGTGGTACTTGAGACGGGCTTTGAAATGTGGATATGGCTTGAATAGGCAGCAGGATTGAGTTCAGAAAGATGTGGGCAGGACTGGAGGGTGAGGCTGCAGGAAGTGGTTATCTAGGCAAAAAGGGAAGAAGGGCTTCATCAACGCTTTGGATCAACAGAACCTACTTGATGTATAGGAACACTGTGAAGAGAAGAATCTAAGATTCTAAGGCTTCAGGTCTGGCTGGGAGAATGTGGGAGTCCTAGGATAGAGGTAAGGGAGGGAAGGAAGATTTGTGGAAGAGGATGGGTGAAAATGACTGTGGATCTGCATCCGGAGAGAGATCATCTAATTTAGAGCAAGAAAGAGCCCTGGGCTTCCCTGGTGGTGCAGTGGTTGGGAGTCCGCCTGCCGCTGCAGGGGACACGGGTTCGTGCCCCGGTCTGGGAGGATCCCACATGCCGCGGAGCGGCTGGGCCCCGTGAGCCGTGGCCGCTGAGCCTGCGCGTCTGGAGCCTGTGCTCTGCAACGGGAGAGGCCACAGCAGTGAGAGGCCCGCGTACCGCAAAAAAAAAAAAAAAAAAAAAAGAGCCCTGACTTCATTAAGTTGAACTCCATTATTTTATAGATGAGTAAAAGAAGAACTTAAGCCCTAAAATTGATTCAAGTCAGTGATTTTCAAACTTGTCTGAATTTTGGAATCATTTGAAGCTGCAAAAAATCCTGATGCTTGTCTTCCACCCCTGGAGTTTGTCATTTTACTGGTTTGGGGTGCCACCTGAGCTTTGGAACTTTTAGAAGATCACCAGGTGATTTTTTTTTTTTTTTATACAGCAGGTTCTTATTACTTATCTATTTTATACGTATTAGTATACATATGTCAATCCCAGTCTCTCAGTTCAACGCCCCCCCACCCCGCCCCTGCTTTTCCCCCTTTCACCAGGTGATTCTAATGTGCAGACAAGTTTGGGAACCACTGATTTTGGTCCTGTGTTGTGTTCAGGTGAATATAGTGAGGAGAGAAATGCCACTTTGCTGCTGCTTCTCCTCACCTCCACTGCTGCAGATCTATCAGCCCCTTTTATACACAAAGTAGTTTTCTTGCTTCTGGACCTCTACACATGTTATTCTTTTTGCCTAAAATGGTCTTACTCCTTCTCTTTGGATGTCAGCCTCCTTCTTATCCCCAGAATCTTGAAATGCCATCCCTTCAGAGAGGGCTTGCGCTGTGATTTTCTCACACTCTATCCCCTCTCTCTCTTTCTCTCCTGCCCTCTCTTTTGTTTCAAAGTACTTAGCACCATATGAAATTTTATATGTATTTTCTTGCTTATTGATTATCATTCTTACATTCTTTGATGTCCACTAGACTGTAAACTTCACAAAGGCAGGGATCATGCCTTTTTTATTGACCAGTGTATCCCCAAAGACTACCACGGTGCCCGATGCATATTGCTGCTAAATAAATAGTTTGTGAATGAATGAATGAGTAAATGGAAGAATCTGAGAGCTTGGTGGAGTATATACAGCTAGACTATTTGGAAGTTATCATCTTGGAGTTGGTAGAATAGTGTCCTGGACACTTAATGGTTGAAGAGACTAAGATATTATCTAATCTTAGTTGTGTACATATAGATAGAAATTCATATCCCGAGAAATTACATGGTGGGTCCAGGGCCCCACTACTGGTCAGAGGCAGAACGGAGACCCATAGCACTTTACTCTGAGTCCTGAGTGATTTATCATATCCCACACCATTGGACAGGCTCTTGAGTGGCCCTGTGGACAGAGGAGGACTGAGGCCTGGGCTATCTTACACTGAGATGGGTGGAAGGAGGTGAGGACCAGTGCTGGAAAGAGAAGAGGATGGTCAGAATTACAGAAAGAGGTCTAGCACCATGGTGTTACAGAAGCCATTGGTGTGGCTCCACTGGGACCTTTTTCTTTGTGGTACAGATTTAAGGGAGTATTTGGCCTTTGTTTCCAAAAGTTACAGGATGAGGAAATGAGTTTTACTCTCAGAAGAACGTAGTTTAAGGGCTTGGATGAAATTTCT